TCAAACCCTCATCCCCAGCCCCACCCCAGAGCCCTCACCCCCTCTCGCACCCCAACCTCCATTTTCATGATTCTTCATGGCCTGCCGTACAATTTCCATACCCAGATGTGGCCTTCAGACAAAAAAGTTTGCCCACCCCTGGCCTAAGTGATGTCCTGTAGTATAGAGGATTGTTTGAAAATGAGCTGTAGGAATTCTTGGGACGCTAATGATAATATTTTTCTAATGCCTGCATATTTTTGGAGCTCCAAAATGCTTTGTAAACATTAAGCCTCACATTGCCCCTTTGAAGGAGGATGGGAAGGACGTATTCCAGTCCACAGAGAGTGAACTAAGGGGCCAAGAGGAGGCTGGCATGTTCACATTCCAACAGGACTCGATTTCACAGAAGACAACTAGTTTAAATCAGACAGTTTGAAGCTTAAACAACCCGAGGGACAAGGCTTGTAGTTTACACTTATTTATACAAGAAATGTGGAAAACAGCCCAGAGATTTATAAAATAGCCATCAGGCCACAGAGAAGGTCTATGGAAGAAGCAAAAGAGCTTTGTAAGTTGTTGGCAAGCAGCTCTCAGTCCCAGTTGTGGCTGCATATACTTAGAGATTCTAAAAATAATGTCATTCAACAGGAAGAAGGTATGGATAGGTGTGTTAAAAAGCACAATAGTCTCAATACCTGGCTGGAGATTCATTACTTTGGGCCCCATTTAGCATGTAAGGCAGTCACTTTGAATCCATTGCACACTAAATCAGTGAAAATTACATCCATTTTCTGACCAGTCCTACATACTGTGTAATTTAAATCACCATTTATAACACTGTAGGTTTTGGCCCAGACTTCTGTAGGAGTTGCTCTTGTTTACACAAAGCCTGGAGTTAGCCTGTTTAGTCCAATGAATCATAGCTAAAGTTGAAAATGGAATTGAGGAGGTCAGCCATCTACTCCTCTGTTTTGACCACTAGGCCCTGTTTTGATATTATGATGAAGTGCACTATAGAAAATCTGAAGTTAGATCCTGGGTGTTCAGCGACCGTATCTATGGTGCAATACTTAGCATCACAGACAAACCAGGATATTACTGGAATATAATGGCTTGCAATAATTAATCTGTTTATATGGGAATGTATATGATGAAGTCTATAGCTCATTTGCTGTATCATCTGAGAGAGGCAGAATGGTCTAACGTATAATGCAGGCGATGACATGAAAACAGAGTTCTGTTTCCAAATCTGCAAAAGACTTGACTTTGAAAGCCACTTACCCTCTCTGGGCCTCTCCAGGTGCATTTTTGCCTGTGCAGTTCTAAAACTCTGGATTGTTATCTAAGTTTTTAAGCACTCAGTTTAAATCTCAAGAGGGGATTTTTAGTTAATGCACTAGGATTGATTGATACTCACGTTTCACTAAAATCATTTGGCCAAAAATGTATTTTGGAGACACGTTACATGTATTATAGGAAAAATAAATATTCAGGAGAATGCAGACAATTTATATAACATGAGGATACTATTTATATACCTTTCATAATGTGCTTTGAGTTTCTCAAAAGAAAGATGCTAAGTACAAATTATTATTTGTTGTAGGTACTTTGTTGAAAAACTCGAGCAAACTTTGCTGTTGGTGCACTGTGTCTTTTGGAAAATAAATACATTGCTTGGTTCTTTTGAGAACAGCATCAAGACCATAAGCTCCCTGGGACAGGGATATGGGTGAGATTTTCACCCCTGCTATGGCCACTGTACAGTCCTGTGCAATGTACAGGGGCTGTAAAAGCCCTGTGGCCAGCCAGGGGCGAATTCTACCCAACAAAGAGTTGTATGGGACAGCTGTAGGCTCTCAAGTGCAAGCCCTGGAAGAGGCTGAGGGTGCATGGTAGGGGCATACCAGAAGACTAGGAGGGTGTTGTGCTATAGTACTTTGTGGTGTTGGGATTCTGGGCAGTTACCATGAATTGGGAGATCATATGTGGCTTAATGCCACCTTTCCCTTTTCACCCCCAGGGCACTGCACAGTATCTCACTCAAAGTTGTCTTCTATATCTTGTCCCACGCTGGTTGTGCTGTCAGTGTTTAATGAAGAATAAGAAACTGATATAAATAGTTGGCATAGCTAAGTAACTAATAACTGTAGGGTGTTTGGTGATTAGGAAGGGTCCTCTTGCCAGGGATCCTAAAGCTATTTTAGAATTTGACAAACAGATGGCACATAACTATGATGTGTTTGACATGCCCACCTCTTTTAGCCTCTCTCATGCCAGCAGTGTAATTTATCAAACTGGTATGTCTGAAACACTTGTTCAATCTCACAGATTCACAAAATGATTTATCTGTATGGTGCCATGTTTTCTCAGAGTTAGACACGTTTCCTTATGGGTCGAGTACAATTTTCACTAAAGTGACAAAAACAAATTTCTTTTTACTTGCACCCACGACTCTCACTGTCCCTCAGGATGTTGTCTTTTGTGGAATGAGGCAGTAAAAGCACAGGTGCCAGCTGCCTCTGGGCCCCAGGTTGCTCAAGCCCCCCACTCCGCCACAGGCCCTGCCCCCACACAACCCCTTCCCCCAACCGCCTGTCCAATTCCGCCCCTTCTTCTAAGCCCCCTGCCTCATCCCATCCCTGCCCCCCCTTCCCACCCAGTTCTGCCTCCTCCCTCCAGCACCTCCTGCATGCCACAGAACAACTGATCACAGCGGGTGGGAGGCACTGGGAGGGAGAGGGAGGAATTGATGAGCGGGGCCACTGACGGATGGGAGGCACTGAGGGGGAGAGAGGGAAGCTTGGCTGCCAGTGGGTGCTAAGCACCCACTAATTTTTTTCCATGGGTGCTCTAGTCCTTGAGTACCCTCAGAGTCAGTGCCTATGAGTAAAAGTTTCAAACAGGATTGTTTTAACAGCAGTCGTGACTGAATCTGCCCTGATATATCTCAGATCAGCTGGCCCCAGCTGACGCCCACTCAAAATTTGCAAGTATAAAGTTCACTTAGATGTCTCAGGGCCAGACCAGTGCCCCTGTCTTGCCTTTGACTTTTTAGATGTAGATACCCAGAGGAAATCTTACCGGTAGCACAGCTGGATGCATAGATGAGTAGAGACTTTTCAGAGGCCATTTTTTATGCCTCTAATGTGGGTACAAGCTTTGAAATTCTAACTGTTTGTCTCTTCATTGCCTGGAATGCTGCATGGGTTGTTGGCAGGTGGTATCCTAAATATAACACAGCTAGCATTATCTCCCTAAAAGACCACAAACTTTTGTATCTGTAATTCTTCTAAGGCACAATTCCAGTACTCGATATGAAACTTGCCTCACTGTGCATCTTGTAACATCAGCTTTTTATAAGATATATGTAACGATGCCTGCTGCAGATCTTATAAAAGGCTGATGTTACGCTACATGCTTCATCACACGTCTTTTATTTCTTTGTTCTCTGGAGGATGAGAGCCCAGAGGTTGTTCCTATATTCAAGTCTGCCACTCAACTCTATACCATGCTGCCTGCAACCTAGTTAAGAAATGCAGAGTGCGCTGAACTAATGTTATGTCACTTTCCAATTTTAAAATACGCAAAGGGCAGTTTTGACTCACTTGTAATTAATTGTCAAGGGTGCTTACAGTATGGGATGCACACTTTTGTGGTGTTATAAGTGGAAATCAAATTAATATAGTCAATTTTAAAGCATGTTATAGTTGTATCTTTTGGTAGTCTATATTCCTCTGTTTAATTAAATCTATAAATTTATTTATCTACTTTAAATTTTTAGTCATAATATTGTTATAGCATGTAGAACTTGTTCCCCCCAAAATAAGGTGGATTTAATAGTTTTATCAAATGTAATGCAAAGAAGGTTTGTCCTTTATTTCCATCCAACATCTAATTAATGAAAATGACTGAATCTGGCATGACCAATCCCTCAACCAGCAACAATGAACAATCACCTAGAAGCAAAGAGAAAATTATGGTAATTGGTAGTACACAATACTGTTTGGATTGCAGATCTCTGACTTTTTGAGTGCAGACAGTCGATCAGAATCCCTTGTAAGTATAATTCTTCAGATTTTCAGGAAAGAAACCATTCTGGTTCTCAACCTAAAGAACCGTTCATTTTCTCAAGCCAATTTAAAATACTGATGATTTGCTAAACTGCTCCTAAAACTCGTTACCATTTTATGTGCTTTATATAGAAATTTACGCTCTTATCCCACGGCTGTACATGCTAGTATCTTTATTATAAGGTAATGGAGAACAAAGCGTTTCACAGAATATCAGGGTTGGAAGGGAACTCAGGAGGTCATCTAGTCCAATCCCCTGCTCAAAGCAGGACCAATCCCCAACTAAATCATCCCAGCTAGGGCTTTGTCAAGCCTGACCTTAAAAACCTCTCCACCACCTCTCTATGTAACCCATTCCAGTGCTTCACCACCCTCCTAGTGAAAAGGTTTTTCCTAATATCCAATCTAAAGCTCCCCCACCGCAACTTGAGACCATTACTCCTCGTTCTGTCATCTGGTACCACTGAGAACAGTTTAGATTCATCCTCTTTGGAACCCCCTTTCAGGTACTAGAAAGCAGCTATCAAATCCCCCTCATTCTTCTGTTCCGCAGACTAAATAATCCTAGTTCCCTCAGCCTCTCCTCATAAGTCATGTGCTCCAGCCCCCTAATCATTTCTGTTGCCCTCTGCTGGACTCTTTCCAATTTTTGTTTGTACTGCAGGCATAAGGCTCCTGTGAAACACTCTGGATTTGTGTTCCTTTATGATCTGGCTGAATCTAAACTTTGTAGCATGTAGACATTATGCACAGAACTTTATTTATATTTCCCGGGTTGCTTTTAATTCTCTTGAGACAGCTTGTGCAGGTTTAGTTAGGCAAAACTTCCATGGACTGATCTGGGAGTTTTGCCTGAAGAAGTCCTGCAAAATATGGCTCCAGTAATTGCAACTTGGTGTTCTGTTTGACTGACAAATACTTTCTAATGAATTCTCTTTGTCTTTGCAGTGTTTTAGATGATGAAGGCAGCAATCTGCGTCAACAGAAGCTTGACAGACAGGTGAGATCTTGGAGTCTGCTTTCGGCCTATTTCCTTTTGACAGGTTAGGGCTTGCTTAACTGGATTACTGTGGAATATGGAGACCTCCTTGCATTGATACACATAGCTGATCGAGGTATCCTGCCAGAAAATTACATCTTGAAATATTAGTTCCCCGGCCTTTGGAGTGTGCTATACATGCTTAAGTGATGGAAAGGAAAGGACTGTGAAGATTACTATTAGTGTTGTCTTTTTCTTATTATTGTGATTTGAGTGGTTTTCATTTTTGTTGACTTAGAGTTGCATTATGATGACCTAGAATGCATTATTCCTTTCACAGACCATGAAAAAACAAAAAAGAAAAGCACAAGGATACTAGTAAGAGTGTTAACCAGCTGAGAATTAACACACAGTTCTCAGAATTGTTCTTCCTTATTCCCAACCAGATAGAATTTAATACTCTCAGTCACTAAGTCATGTGCTGTGTTGTCTGTCTTTCTACCACATTCTTAAATGGCCTACATGAACATTCATTCTGAAGACCTTGAGTGAAATCTTGTCCCCACTGGGTATGTTTACACTGCAATTAGACACCTGCGACTGGCCTGTGCCAGTTGACTCAGACTCATGGGGCTCAGGCTGCAGGGCTGTTTATTTGCAGTGTAGACATTCAGGCTCAGGCTGCAACTCGAGCTCTTGGACCCTCCCACCTTGCAGGGTCCTAAAGCCCGGGTTCCAGCCCAAGCCCAAACGTCTACACTACAATTAAACAGCTCCTGAGCCCTGGGAGCCCAAGGCTCAGGCCAGCTGTGGGGTTTTAATTGCAGTGTAGCCGTAACCATTAAGGTCAAAGGGAATTTTACCATTGACTTTAGTGGAGTTAGGGTTTCACCCCTTGTCTTTAATTTCTGCTTGGCCTCCTTTCGAAGAACCTCTGGCTCTCTTTCAACATGCTTTTATGTATCAAACTTGATCTTCTGTTACCTTTGCTTCCATTGTAATGTCCACTCCACACCCATCAGGTTAGGGTTAGGGTCTTGCAGTCTGTGCCCCATTTTCAATATCAAATACTTTATGCCATCTTGCCTCTGATTGCAGTGTTGTTATAGCCATGCGGTTCCCAGGATATTAGAGAGACAAGACGGGTGAGGTAATATCTTTTATTGGACCAACATCTGTTGGAGAAAGAGACAAGCTTTCGAGCTACACAGAGCTTTTCTTCAGGCTTGGGAAAGGTACTCAGTGTCACAGCTAAATATAAGGTGGATCAGATTGTTTAGCATAAGTAGTTAACACATATTCTAAGGGACAATTGAAGGTGAAGTGGCCTGTTAACACCTCTGGGAACTTAAATTAATATCTTTGCTAGGCACTAAAAATCCTGGTCTTAATAAAGACACTGGATTTATGGTTTATTACAATAGTCAGTAACCCACTAACCCCACTCTTTTTCCTATAATTCCAGAGGTATTAATAGGCCACTTCACCTCGAATAGTTCTTTAGAATATGTGTTAACTGCTTATGCTAAACAATCCGTTCTACCTTGTATTTAGCTGTGATACTTTGAGTACGTTTCCCAGACTGGAAGAAGAGCTCTGTGTAGCTTGAAAGCTTGTCTCTTTCTCCAACAGAAGTTGGTCCAATAAAAGATATTACCTCACCCACCTTGTCTCTCATGTTGCGTCTGAATCAGATTCTGACTTCTAATTCATGTTGAGTAGCAGCACATCATTCATGGAGTAAAGTAGTACTCAACATGAAGGAAGGCTGGCAGAAACTGATCCTCTCTGGATATTCCTCTACTTTAATCCAGCCCTTTTGCTATTTATAACAGCATTGTATTTTCTTTTTCTCTCTACATGGAGAGAAGTCAAAAGACAACCCATGTAAAAACAGCATAGTACAGAGAAAGGGGACAAATAAGACACTAGGTTATTAAAATTAAACCACCTTAACCCCTCTAGTTTCTTGTGGATGTTCAAAGTGGCTGTGATAGAATGGCATCTCATAAATATACATTGGCTTCTGTCAGGGTATACCCCGCCAAATCTGAACTCTGGGTACAGATGTGGGGACCCGCATGAAAGACCCCCTAAGCTTATCTTCTGCCAGCTTAGGTTAAAACTCTTCCAAGGCACAGTCTTCTGTCTTGGACAGATATTGCTGCCACCAACAAGTGATTTTCACAAATATTCAGGGAAGGGTCACTTGGAATCCCTGTCCCCCCAAAATATCTCTTCAAGCCTCTTCACCCCCTTTCCTGGGGAGGCTTGAGAATAAAATACCAACCAGTTGCCTTAGCAATGTGAGCACAGACCAACCCCTTGTCTAAGGACTTTGGAATCAAAGGATTCTTTAAAAAAGGGTAAATTTTATTAAAAAAGAAAAAGAAACACATCTGAAAACTCAGGCTTTAGGGATTAAACACAAAAAATAACTTTCTTGGGGTTCAGCTTAAAGGTTACAAGCAAAACAAAAGCACCTGGGTTTAGCACAGAGGACTCCACAAACCAAAAAGGTTCCTAATCGCATCTGTCTTAACTTTTCCTGTGCTACTTACATATCTTGGCTTCCAAATGAGGAGTTTCTAGATATGATGCAGATGATTTCCCATACCTGGCTTAAAGCTTACAGCTTGTTGCTGCCTTCTCCTCTCTCCAGCCCAAGAGACAAAGAAAAAAACCCCACACCCAGCAATTTTTCCCATTTGAAAAGGTACAGCCTCCCTATTGGTTCCCTGGTCAGGTGCCAACTCAGGTTAAGCGTCTCTTAACCCTTTACAGTTAAGGCAATTAGGGTACAGCTGCTATAGCTACTGACTGGGTGTCTGCAAAAGGGAGCTTCCTCTCCCCCCCCCCCAATTTATCATAGCTTCCATCACATTCTAAACTTAGAAACATCTGGAGGGAGAAACTTATGCAATTGTAAAGACAATCCTCTGCCTTCTAGCAGTTAATACTTGCTTTTCACCTGGTGTAAATGAGAATTGAAATTGAAAATAGGGTGTGTAATTAAAATTCAGCATGTATCATTGTTACACTGGGCTTCTGCCCAGTCTTGTCACTTGATTGTAGTTTACAGATTCTTTTCTTGATTTACATAAACATAAATCAGTGTTTTCATGCCTCGTGCTCTTGGTTATCATATTAATTCACAGTGCTCCCACGTTGTTGGCTTCCCAAAAGATTTTTTTTATCTAGCTCTGACAGCCAGTAGACTGCTCAGAAACATCTATTTGACCTGTTTGGTACTTTCAATAGAGTTTTTAGAAGGGTTTTCTATGGCTTGGCATCCCAACGTCCTATTAGACTCCACTCTTGCCACTTGAAAATAGCATACAAGGTGGCCTGCTATTGCAGGAGTTGTAAGGATATCTGTTGTGATTTACTGGGAGTTCTACAGTATGAAGTCAAATAACATTCAGTTAAGCAGCATTTGCAGAACAGAAGCTATGTGCACACAGACTCCCCTAGAAAAGTGACATTTATTCTAACAGTAAAGTACTTTTCTTTGTATTTCCCCCAGCGAGCATTGCTAGAACAGAAGCAGAAAAAAAAACGCCAGGAGCCACTGATGGTTCAGTCCAATGTAGACAGCCGCACAAGAACGCGCAGAATGAAACATTCAGAGGAACAAGCGCCATTGGTTGAATCGTATCTTAACAGCAACAGCAGCACCATTTTTCATGGTATATTGACGTGATCTATAGCGTGCATGTTTACTGCTAGAAGTCCTGTTATTTTGTTGAAAAATGAAGTCAGCGTGGGAACAAGAATGTAATCTTTTAAATGAATGCCCTGAAAGCTTAGCTCAGCTGTGTTTGGGGATGAGAATGATAATAAACTATGCAGAATTCCAGAATAACCACCCCCATAACTTTAAAATGAACTTTTTCGACAGTGGAAACTTTCAGTAAGATGTCATCCTGGCTTGGGTTCCTGCTCTCCATACTTTACATTCTCCCTTTAAATCTGATTTCAATATGTGAAAGGATGTTGTTGAATGTTTTGTACAAAGATAAAATATGGTAATGTACCATAATACTGGGAGGGGCTACGTGAAATCCAGGTTTGCGTCTCCACATTACTCACAAATTGTGAGTGAATTTTTTTTTCTTTTCTGTGGAATTTATTCATAGAAGTTCCAGAATGCATCAACTATGAATAAGGGTTTTTGAATAATAAACCTCTTTTAACCATGCTTCTGAAAGCTGTTTAAGTAACAGATCTGATTTCAGATGAAGGGGAAAAAACACATTATTTTCTCTCATAATCGGAGAAAAACATATAAAAAGACTATTTTTTTTCCCATGCTGTCTAGGAAGTTGATTTTGTACAGAATTTTATGAGAATGTTTTCTTTGGTAGCTAGCTACAGGAGATAGAAAATTTCCTTTTACTTCTTTCTCATTGTAACAGCTAAACACAGGTGCAAAACCCTGTCCTATGAAATGTTATTTTATGATACACAGCAGCAATTGCCTTCTAAGCCACCCTTTAATGTAAACTTAAATAACAAGGATTTCAAGTCTGCTACAGACCGGAGAAAGCAGACATCTCACAAACAGTAGTGAAATCCTTATTTATACTACGCTGAATCCTGCAAGTGCTTGCACCCTGGGCAACCATTCTGACATCAGTAGAGGTTGCCTGGGGTGTGTGTTAAGGCAGAATTTGGCCCTTCATATCACATCACATCAATCTTTTTCCACTCAGGTCGTTCCCTGGAACAGTTACGTCTAGGCCTCAAATTACTTTATTTTAAATTCTCTCTCCAACCCTGCCACCAAAGGATGTCAGTGGACAGCACAGACTTTCAAACCCTGATAAAGAAACAAGACACTCTATTTTACAATGTCATGTAAACCATTAAATTAGGTTCTTTTTACATCTGACATAGTACAAGTAAATAAGATGGGCAGAATAGCCTAGTACTGAAAATGCATTAGTAATATGTAGCTATATTTTCTCACATTCAGCCTTTGGTTTGTAAACTTCTGGGGATAGCTCTCCAGGTAATCAACTGTTGGCGCATTTATCAGAAGCCTCAATTTAACAGCATTTCATTACCCAATAAAGTGGTTTGTTGCATTGTAAAATCCTCTCTCAGGAGCATTATTCTTGAAAACATTGTGAGAACTTTTTACAGAAGTGTCCTTTTTTTTTGTTGTATTTTTCTTCAGGAGTATGGTTGGTAGTGTCAAGATTCATCTGCTGTGTGGGGCATATTTGGGTTTCAGTGGCCATTTTCAACGACAGTATTCATCTCCAATGAAAACGTTGGTATCTGGGAGTGTTGGATGCATGAGACAGCTGGGCTGTATCTAAAGAACTGTTCTGCTCTTTCCCATTCACTTGTTTCTGTTATGGGTGTGCTTTAAAATGACTCTTTGTGGGAACTGGTATCCTACTGCATAAACTGTACTGCATATATGAGCGAGTCCGTGAGATTCATTCCTATGTAGCAGGCACTGCACATGTACCACCCCACATATTTTTTTTCCTTGTAAAATTCCTGTCTGTAAACTTCAATAGGAAGGTGTAACACAGGAATGCTTGTTTAATTTGATGAGTAAAATTAAGCCTGCCTCTGGTGGGAGGTTGGATGATTAGATTATGGGGTGTATGTATAATGAGAGGTCAGGAACAGGGTAACATGATTCCTTGTTCCCATCATATTGGAGCTTGTCTACACTGGGAAATTGACAGCATAGCTATAGTGGAATAATCTAGTCAGCTATGGATATTCCAGAATAGCTCCCCATGTCAACACTTTATTCAGGAATAAACAAATCTTTATGCCACAGTAAAGTTACTTTTATTCCAGATTAGCGTTCATACAAGGAGCTATTCAGGAATAGCAATAGTAGACTATCTTCTCCTGCTCTAGCTGTGCTATCATCAGTTTCCTTTTTTAGACAATCCTTAGCTGGTGTTGGAATTCTGCAGGGAGCTGCAGAATGATTACTGCTAATCCAAGCTTAATCTATAATCTTAAACTAAAATAGGGAAAGAATACATTAAGAATTACTTAGACAAGTTAGATGTCTTCAATTTGGCAGGGCCTGTCAAAATACTTCCTGGTATACTTACGGATCTGGTTGAAGAGATCTCTGAGCCATTAGTGATTATCTTTGAGAGCTTGTGGAGGACGGGAGATCCCAGAGAACTGGAAAAGGGCAAATATAGTACACATCTATAAAAAGGGGAATAGGGACAACCCAGGGAATTATAGACCAGTCATCTTAACAGAAAGATAATGAACCAAATAATCCAAAGAGTCGGTTTGTAAACACCTAGATGATAATAAGGTGATCAGGAACTGTCAACATGGATTTGTCAAGAACAAATCATGTCACACCAGCCTAATGTCTTTCTATGACAGGGTAACCAGCTTTGTGGGTAAGCAGAAGCAGTAGATGTGATCTATCTCGATATTAGTAAGGTTTTTGATTCAGTCCCACATGATCTTCTCATAAGCAAAGTTGGGAAATATAGCCTAGACAAACCTACTATAAGATGGGTGCACAACCAATTATAGTTAGCAGCCAAGTAGACTTCCCTAGATATTAACAAAATGATATGGTTAAACTCTTAACATGGAGGTGAGAGGCCAGTTTGTTATGCCCGTTCATTTCTTGGTGTGTGTTAAAATTGCCAGTCAGAGTCCCCATTAGCACCCTTAGTGACATGGGTGATGACACTTCTCCATTCAGGAAATGGACTGAAACCATAACTCATTTTGCATATGTCACCAATCACTCAGTAGCTGGTAATTATTTTTCAGTCTCCAATGACCTTTGGCCTAGGACTGAAAGGTGTTGTGTCCCTGAGCCCATCTGTAATCCCATATAGAATTACATGTTTTTCATCTTTCATTCAATTACCATATTAGCATTGGTAGCAATTAATACTATAGGATAACTTCAGAAACCAACAATATTTGTCAGGAAAAGGCAAGCTTCAGGTAAAGTGTGGGCTTCTAGCATCAATGTGCCAGTCCATAAAGTGACTGAATGGAGCTAAACAATTAGTAAGGAACAATGACAACACTGATAGAATCTTTTCCCCGTGAGTATTAGTTGAGCTTCTACTTCTAACAGTCTAACAACTGTATTATTTCCATATTAGATAGCCATTGTGGATGGACCATTTCAGATCCATCTGGCCCTACTGAAAATACTTAAAACTATTACTGAAATATAAAGCTTATATTAAACAGCAGTATTTGTAGACAGATGATCTACAAATGGGGCCCTTGTATGAAAGAGGAGTTTTGTTTTGTACTGCTGTTTGGAAGAAATTACAAAATTACCTGTAGAGCAACAGCTGTGTTTTAAAACATCTTTATTTGATCCCAGATTTGTGTTAACCTAGTAACCAGACCTATGCTGATGTAGAATAATGCTTTCACAGATTTATAAAGAACTGACCTTTTCCACTGCTCCCTTAAATTTTCTGCAGAAATGAAAGGCAATTTTCATAGGTAAGAAGGCATCATTTTTTTTCCTGTGAAAATGGTGAGTTTCCACTTGGGACAAATTCCTTTTTTTGCAATTTTGAGAGAGGCTAGAATCTGAACAAGGCAAAGTCTGCTTTTATTAATGTTACTTTTTTTACAGACATGGCTTTTGTATGTTTGGAATTAAAATGTTTTAAATTAAAAACAGAAAAAAACCCTCCTTCAAGTAACTTTGCAACAACTTTTGATTTAGAAGTTTAGATTAACCATGTAAAAGATAGCAACATTACTTTCTCTTTCGTAGCATCTGTGTCAGTCCCAGGATATTAGAAAGACAATGTGGGTGAAGTAATATTTTTGTATTGGACCAATTTCTGTTGGTGAGAGAGACAAGCTTTTGAGCTTACACGGTGCTCTTCAGGTCTAGGAAAGGTACTGAGAGTGTCACAGTTAAATACAAGGTCGAACAGATTGTTTAGCAAAGTAGTTAGCACATATCCCTCCAGTAATGGGGAGAAAGGAAGGGGTGGGGGAGAAAGATGGGTGGGATGGGGCTTTCCACTAAAAGATATTATCTCACCAACCTTATCTCACTAATATCCTGGGACCATCACGGCTACAGCAACACTGAATACTTTCTCTTTGACATTTGGCAACAGGGCTAAATTAGATGTCTGTATTTTGTGCCAAACAGATTTCTGATCACAAGTCATAACTCTGGATTGTTAAATTTGGCATGTCATTCTGTTCTGACACCATAAATGATATGAGAGAGAGAGTTTTCCATTGAATGGCAAACTGTCAGATTTTAAGGTGACATCATTTAATCATTCATTTTAAAAACATTTGTGCATGTTCAGCAAAATCTAGTGGTTTGGATCGTGTTTTCTGTTGACTTCAGTTCGAGAAGGTGTTTGTTCTTTTTTGGGACAAAGCAGGGAATATGTTATCTGCATTAGATCATACTCTTGATACTTGGAGTGCTGCCTTACTTCTTAATGAGGTGTGGGAGAATTTTGTGTTAGAAGATTATAATAATTTTTAGAAACTCCATGGGTCTCTTATAAATGGCAGCATGAGACCTCTAGCATATGTCCCCAAGATTGAAATCCCCCATGTTAATGTAGTTTTAAAAAGATAGATGTTTGAAGAGTTGCTCATTCTGTTCTCTTGTCTGATTTGATATGTAACAGAAAACCCCCCCGGTGCCTCATTTTGTGATTTACTA